AGGTATAATCTCTGCAGAAGAAAATGAAGAACACAGTACAGAGGTAGCCTCTGTGGTAAGGTGCCGAAGGGCGGAGGGTCAGGAATGGGAGGAAGACTTATGGGTCCTATATATCCTTACTTTTTATAAGATTGTATTTTCGCCATGGACATTACTGTTAAAAAAAAGTAAGAAGTATGTCATATTTGACAGTTTTCCAAGTTTATGTATTTAAGGCCAAAAGGAAATCAAGGCCCTGATAAAGGCAACATCAAAATGATAAATATTCAATAACCAGTTATTTGGCATTTGTAAACTCGGCTTAGCCCTATGCACTCTCTTGCTTAGACGTTCATGAAAATTTTGTGGTTGTGAAGGATACCTGTAACTTTCTTGTAGAAGAGCTAGACGTTCTTTAGCTATGAAATGTGGGAGGAAATAGTGCCGATCTCTAGCAGAATATGGCCTTCATAAACACAACAAGCCTCTGCACATTTTATAGACCAGGAAAAGGGCCTCTATGCCCAAGATACTTTGAATCTGCTTACAGTGTGGAAATACACCTTCATTGCTTAAAAAAAATAAAAATAAAAACCCTCTGCCAACAGACTCTACCCATCCTTGACTGGTTTATTTGCTCAGTGTTTTTCTGACCCCATCGAACAAATGTATCCTTTCTTAAGAAAACCCACAATTTGAATATAGGATTTATAGAAAAAATCTCTAAAGAAGTGCCCATTTGCTTTAATTAGAATTCCTTAAAATATGAAAATAATGAACATTTTAAATATGATTTAATACAAAAAAGTTATGCAGAAATTTCAGGAACATCATCACTAAAGATACAGGTACTTAGTAATTACTTGCTGGTTGGATGCACACACCTATTGAAACTCAGCAGACTGAAATGGATAAGAGTGCGGGTCGGGATCCGGATATCCCTGTGTTTGGATTCCCTCTGCTGTTCATTAGCTGAGTATGACCTTCAACAAGTGACTGGACCTCTTAAAACCTCAGTATTTCCTAAAGAAATAAAACGAGTGAGTAACACCTCCCTTATAACTAGTTGTATTAAATGAAAGGTATAGATAAATGCAGGTAAATAAAATATAGGTGTATTTTATTTTATCACGTATTATATTTTATCATATAGTAAATATTATCTATTATTTCCCTCATTTACTATCTGCTTGCCTGAATGGGAGCAAATGAATGGCAAGAACAAAACATAAGTGTTATATTTTCAGCAACACAATATAGGCACTTATATATTATAAACATAATTATATACATACACAGTACCAGCACAGTACCTGACACACAGTGAATATTCAGTAAATGGTGGTTACTATTGTGAAAAGTAACACAAAGTACTCTGAGGGCTTGAATGATTTCATAGCCATAAAGACTAATTTTATGCATAACATTCCAGGATACTTTATTGCACTGGAACAAGAAGGAGTAAAAGACAGTGTAACTGAGATTTTACGGCCTTAAAGTTATGGCCTTAAAGTATGGGCAAACAATGAGCAGATACATACATGAATTGTGACAGAGATTCAACTTGCAACAACTGTTAACATGTATTGAGTGTGTGGTGATTAGTCATTCTGCAGAATGAACACTGGGACTTATATCCTCTCCAAAATTACTTTATAATATTATCTGCTTCCTACTTTCTTAGTTAAAAATACGAAATGTAAATGTTGTGTTTAATTTCCCAAGCTATAACACAATGTCACTTCTTTGGGAAAGGCAAAAATAGTACAAATTGCTTCAAATATAGAAACTAAATTACTGTATTCCCACAGATGGCTAAAGGTTTCTTTTTCTTTTCTTTTTTTCCCCCAATTTTGCAGCCTTCCCCCTCCTTTCCCTCTAACACTTGTAGTTTGTTTAATAAAAGTTGAGAATTCTCACAAAGGGCCTTATAAACACGTGTTATTAGATTTTAAATCTGATTTGAAAGTGCCTCTCTCCTGCTCCCTCTGAGTAAAGTGACCTTTTTAAATGGAGGGAAGTGGGTTTAGATGACAGTCATGATAAATGCGGTCATGTTCACTCAATAAAATAAGGCCCAGTGCATTTGAGGATAAATCAGTGAAATGTACAGCCCCACCTGTCTGTCTCCATCATTCATTTCCACTGTCACTTTCACAGTGGCTGATGGATCACAGTTGCTGTAAAATTAGACAGCCTTTAATCTCATTTCATCCTGATTAGCTTCTCTTTACCCTTTCCCTCTGACTCACTGACTGACACGCTAGAAGCCCACACTGGGCTGCATGTGAACGCGGAGTACAAGCTTCTCCTCCACGACCTGCTTGTGAGGGCGGGGTTCGTGTCCACCTCTAGAGGAATCTAGAAAGGGTCAGGCGTGTACTCTTTGTGACTTAAAAGGTAATCAATAAGCAGGGTACCTAATGCCATTTTAAACAGATGTTTGCCCTTGCTCACTGCCCTATCTGCTTCACTTTCCTTCAGGTTTAATCAGAAATCAAAGAAAGTAGGTCTTTTGCAAAACTCAAACATTGATTTAATATAGATTTCCTTCTAATAAATTTGGAGCATTTTGCATTCCAAATAATTTCAAAAAGCTTTTGTGTATATTTATAGCCTCTCAATTCATGGTAATAACTCAAAAAAGACAATAATTCAGGAATGAGAATACTGAAATACTCTGCCAAGAAATATAGCACACAAGGCTTAAAAACCAGAGTAAATATGTGCAGATAAATAAGAATACCTTCAAGTAGCCTTTATATTAGAACTTCAAAAACCTTCTCTCTTATTTTGAAGGTTTCAACAGTTAGCTTAATGCAACAGTTTCATTTGTTTGCACAAAGCATAACAATAGGGGTAATCAAATGAAAAAGAGGCTTAAGAATAAATCATCTATTATTTCCTTCACTTAATTTCTGCTTGCCTGAATGGGAGCAAATGCATGGCAAGAACAAAATACAAGTGTTCATTTTCAGAGATAGTGCTGTGTTATAAAGTTGAACTTCTAGTGAAAAAGAAGATAATACAGTTTTTTATTACTTATAAGATTTGGATATTGAATGGGCCGAAAGTTTAAAGTAAATATTGGAAGAGTGGCTGTCATAAAGTGAGTCGGTTATAGTCAGTGGCCTCTATTTTTACACTCATTTCTCATGCGAGTAGATGCATGCAGATGGCAATCAATGCTATAAGTTTGCACTGACCAGATGACATTATGATGAACTGGGTAGCCCCAGGCTGTTCAGGATATACATAACATATGGGGAGCACAGTTTTGTTTTTGGTATTATGGAACCATCATCATAATCCAAATAATGATGAGTTAATTTTTTTCTAAATGTTCAACCCAGATCCAATTTTAGTTGCTCAATGAACCCAACATATATTCTGCCCCAAATGGATTCTGCAGAATCTATATGATTAAAAGCATTTCCTAAAGAGATAACTGAGGGTTGGGGGGATGAAAGACATTCCCAAGATGACTCCCTAAGTCAATTGACCTAATTAATGGACCTCACAAATCCACAGCACACCCAATTTCTTCTACATTATCTCCTAAATCAGGGGTTTACATACCAATGCCTTCTCTCTTGTGCATATCAGTTCAAAAACAATGAATAGTCACGGTAAAAGAAAAATTAAATGATAAAATAATCAAAACTCCTAAAATCCTTCAGTAAAAAGCTCCAATGATCTGACTTGCTCTCTCAGAGGCTGTCCAATAGGTTCCAAAGCTTTGCCTGTTTCCTATTATTTTTATTTACATATCTCAGTCTGCTCTGCACATTCTGAGAAAAATTAAAACAGAAAAACAAGTGAAATGAGACATGTGTGCCACCCCAGATGCGCTGGGAATGAGATAGGTGTGCTCTCCTTCCCCCTCTCCCCACTGAAAAAGAACACAGAGTCAGAGCTGGCCTTGGCTCATACTGATTTCCCACTGCACTGGTTTCTTAAGTGCTCTGCTGATCCGTGTCAAGCAATAAGTTCCCTGCCTGCACATGCACATCGCCTCCCCATTTTTCCTCACCTAGATTTAAGGTGCCCATATGATGAGCTGAACAAGGACATCATTTTTACTACTGGTGTCACTGGGCCCAAACCCCTGCATGTGTGATAACTAACGCTGTGTCCGTTTGCATTTACCTTGTGATAGTGTAACAGCAGAGGCCAACACTGCACTGCGCTTGGGGTCACGGGGGTGTCCTCTCCTGGCTGTGTGTGTCTCCCAAATGAAAATGTAAATGAGAACAAATGCAGAGGAAGCTGGCTTTCATGGGTTTCTGAATGACACCCCCTCCCCGCAGCCACCAGATCGGGGCAGGGAGAAGGGCGAGACGAAGGGAATGAATATTTGTGATGTTCCTGACGGTTTGGGTCTTTGTCACAGAAGAGCTCCTAAGCAGATAGATAGAAAATGTGAGATTGTGCTGCTAATGACATTGTACAGGAAATTAAGCGTATACATTTGGAGAAGGCATTAAATCAGCAGGACCTTAATTTAAAAACTTAAAACTGTATGGAAATTCAGCTTGCTCATTGCTGTGGAATAGAAAGCTACCAAGCACACTGAGCCTGTTTATGGAAAGACTGCCAGCAAACCAAGTTTGGGCAGAGCATCCTAATGGCTCCGAGTGTATGCAGGGTTATTTCTTCCGAGAAGTAACCCCAGCCCTGACCATTTGGGAGTTTCAATCACTGCTTTGGAATGAGGTCCCCATCATCAGGCAAGTGAGAAGAACTTAAGAATTGAAAGCAGCATGACAGGTTGTTCTTGACTAATTTGTGGAATAACATTATGTAAAATTAATCAAAAGGGGTTGGGTTTGCAGTTGCCGGGAACACATCATTGAGCCACTGAGGATCGGGGGGTGCCTCGCTCTGCTGCTTGGCTCTCTTCTTCCTACTGACTTTGTCTCACATTTTATGCACTTTGGTGAAAGCAAATAACTAGTGAGCCAACGGGCAAGTTCTAAGATGGAAGATTTCATACATCTGTTTTTTCTTCTTCATTCCAGTTATGCCGTACAACAGTGCCCACCACTGCGTTGTGGAGGTAGAGAATTTCTTGTTTGTGTTGGGCGGAGAGGACCAATGGAACCCTAATGGTAACTATTGAACAACGTAATAGTGGCTGCTCCATGTGTGTTCAGTGAAAGGCACCGGCAACAGTCCATCACGTAATTACTGGGGAGAGTATGTATTTGTGCAGCAGGGACCAGCGAAGTAGTCAGTGAAGTGGGCTGACGATTGGAGGGAGGGTCAATCACTGAGCTCGCAGAGGACTACCCAGCAGAGCATTCACTCACTGACTGCCTGGGGATTTAGCTTCGCACTGACGCCCCAGCCCCTCTCCTGATCTGTCCCTTGAGGAATGCCACAGCGCAGGCACGGACTCCCTAGAGGCAGGTGGCAAGCTGTAGCTACTTAGAATTCTCACCACCTTCTCCACCACTCTTCTCCCATTTTACCAGTGCAATAATGCAGTTTCAATAATTAAGCATTATCTGCAGTCACACTGCACATAACCTTCGCTGAAGTTCTTTTGCAACATTTATTACTTCGAGTTGTCCCACCGTTTCAAGAGCTTCTCTCAGAGATCATCCACCATCCTCCCTGTTGATGGGATCACTACGTAAACTTATCACAAAGAGAAATCAAACACTTTAATACATTTCCCAAGCCAAACACAGGGAGAACATTGTGCCTTGCAGAACATGTGAAATTATCAAGATATTTTTGGAAAGCTTGCACGTGAAGGAAGAGTTGCTGTTGTAGCCTTCTGTGTAACAGAGATAATTATGACTGAGAAACCATAAAACAGCTTGCAGGTACACATTTTTACTTTAAAACCCCAGAACATCCAGATGAAATTACATATACTGCATATATTTTATTGTGAATGCTCTCTTTCAGCATCTGCACCAAGGCAAATTATAGAAAATTGTTACATCTGTTCACTCTAGAAAATCTTAAAGGAAAACAACCCAGGCCACCCTCCAGGAACACTTCTTTAAAGCAAGTGAGGGACACATTCCTTCTCAAGACCTGCAGTTTCATTGGTCCATGTCTTTAATGGTTGGAAAGGAGACAGTTCCTGGGCTTTGTGAGAAACAGATTTGGAACAGGAGCAAAAATTATATGCAGCATCTCTGCTCTAACTTATCTTTTAAATAATGGACTTCACGTTACCAAAACACTGGAATACGTACAATGTCCTGCAAACTCCCCATTTACTGTTGAATCTGTTTTAGATTAAAACTAACCCATAACCCATGGCCCTGTTTCTGATGGTTGTGCTCTCTCAGCCCATCGCTCTTCCCAGGTGGAATGAGCCTCTGTCAAAATACCAGTCTCGACGCCACAACTCAGTGTACACAGAGCTTGACGGACCGACCATTCCTACGAGACAGACCTTAGTCAACAACATAGAAAACCTGTTCCCTAGGTTCACACCACACCCCCCCCCACCAGTGACTTGTAACTGCTTTCTGTTCAACTTCTATTGAACACACAAGCTCAGAGGATTAGGTCAGGGAATTAGGGAAGAGTTAATAGATATATTCCTCCCTCTACTCTAGAAAATCAAGATTTTATCTTTGAGTTAATGTTCCCATAAACCTGTGTCCTAGGACCTCACTGATTTGCCTTCCTCCACCCCTGAGGAGAACAGCAGTTTGCTTTAAAGCCCTTGGTGAATATGCTGTGAGAAAGACTGTTGAACGCACTGCACTGCATTTCCTGTAGGCATGCCTGTCACCCCCCAACATGCCCCACGTGAAGACACCCTCTTGTCAGACCGAAGCACTGAGTCACTTTTGAAAATTGTGACTAATGCTATTCCTGTGATTGAATGCGTATGTTTGCTTTTGCTACAGCCACTAAGAGGCTCAGAATTGAATTTTAGTACTTTTAGCCTCAGTATGGGCCTGGAGGCTCACTCCCTCTTTCTGTGAGGCCCTTTTTAAAACCTGCTTCCACCTGCAACGCTAAGCCATGCTTCCCTGGCTTGTTTGGCATGCGGAGTCATTTAGTACAGATCTGAGAAATTGCTGGCGAACCACTGATTGGCCCTCCTTTATAAACAGAGGAGAATTGTTCCCTGTGAGGCAGGCAGACCTTCTTGTCAGTCAGTCAGTCCTTGGCTGACGCCTTCTCCCAGGTGGGGGACGAGGGCGAGCCAGGAGGTAGCCTGTTCCGCTGAGGACAATTCTCCAGGGTGGGAGCAGCTGCGACCATGAGTGCCAGCACTCACAGCAGGTAGGAAAGGGGGGCACCAGTCTAGTGAAGACATCTGGACCAGGAACCAAAACACACATTCACCACAATCCCTTCAATATTTTCCTTGTAGCTTCATATACCACACATCTGGTAAACCATAGTTAACTCTTTTTAGCATCAGTAGTAATATATATGGAGCACTAATTTTTGCTGGGAACTTTGCTGAGCACTCACCTTATCGTTTCACATCATCCTCACACCTATCCCGTGAGGCCCAGTCCATGGTTGCTCTAGTTCTACCATCAGGAGATTAAGCCTGAAGAGGTTAAAGAACTTGCTAGGACACACAGCTTGCGAGAAGCTGAGCTGATTTACTGGAGGTCTGTCTGACTTCAGGGCCCTAGTTTTCAAACCATGACACTACACTGCCTTCCCAGACAAACATTTGTATTTGGATAGATATGAAACAACAGTCATTTTTCCATTGTTCTTGTGAAATTAAATCCTTATTGTATCACAATGGCCAGTGGTTCTCACTCTCTTAGAAAAAAAATCTCTTCATTATTCCCCAGCTAGGAAACCAAAAAGGAACTCAATCATCTCAAAAATATGGGATTTTCATATTATAATACCTTCTGCAATCAAAAAGTAAGCATTTGATACCAAAATGTATAAAGAATAATAATCCCCAAGAAAACATATAACATGCTTTAATTTCATTTCTGGCAGGGAGGAAAAATTAAAAACCCATAGGTTGAAATATTACATATATGTCAGTTCCAAAGATGGAATCTTCTTAAGTTAAACTTTAGTTCTTATGAAATGGTGCCTGAGATGTATGTCCTTTAATGAAATACAAAATTGTAAATTTCAGTATCTGCTCATAAAACACAAATAGGTACTTGTAAAACACAAATTTATTTTATTTATTGATTGTCGTGATTATAAGACCAAAATTTGAAGTTTTAAAACATGTTACTGGGAATATACACAGGATATAAATATTTTCAACTTAGCCCTATATACTAACTCCTATTAACATCCTTCATGTCATTAGTGACAGAAATGAGTTATAATAGTCTAATATAGATGCACATATTCTGTCAGAGCCCCAGCTTACAGAGAACAAATTTCCGTTTGTCACTTCCTGATGACTGACTCCCAAAATACTGCTCATGGGGCATTTCCTTTCCCTCTCACTTTCTTCCATTCCACCTCTGACTGGAAACTGCCGCCCCTGGCTCCATTTCACCCCTCACCTAAGTAACATTCAGCAGTGAGCACAAAGGAAAAAGGACTCATAGACATGGACAACAGCGTGGTGACTGCTGGCGGGGGGCGGGGGGCGCAGGGGAAGGAGGGTATAAGGGGACTAAATGGTAATGGAAAAAATACAATAATGATTAAATTTTTAAAAAAATTTAAAAAATAGAACTTTTTAACAGACTCATAAAAAATGGTGTCTGGTGGCAGGGAATCACCACAGAAAGAGAAGAAAAGGAAGAAGAGTTAGGAAAAAATGGGAAAGATGAGAAAAGACTAAAACAGTGAAGAATAATCCAAAACCCCACTGGACGTGGCCACCACTCTGAAGCTGCTAATAGGGTCTCATTAGAAGCCACAAGGATGGAGTGAAGAACCTCATTTAATCTCACCTCCTTCATTCCACCAAACTCATTCCCTCTGAGGTTCATTGTGCCCCTTGCACGTCCCTTGCCAACTCCAGAATGTCTTCCTTCTTCTTAGCTCCCCAGTCACTCCTTGCCCCTTTGGGCACCATTTACCCTGCCTCTGGAAACTTTCTTTATCTTGCATGCATATCACACCAGACCCTGCTTAGCCTTTTCTCTGATAGAAAGCTATGACCATTACCACCAGAGACAAACATTCCAGCTCCTACCACCACTGTTCAGCATGTGAAGCCACTCTTGGCCCCATTACAGAGAGGAAGCAGATGTCTTCTTCCAAATGGAAATTCTAAACAAAATTTCATTGAGAAACATTCTTATATATGGTGGATGTGTTCTGCATTCCTACTAATAGCATTAATCTTCAGATGCATTTTGGAATTAACTTTGGAACCTACAGGGTTAATGATTGCAAAATCTACGGACTCCCTTATAAACCAACTCTAGACCTAATTATTTCTTGAGTTGGAGCCTCTCTTTGTGGAATCTGAATCTTTTGGATTACTCTCAATCCAAGAACTCTTAACTCTTTCTGTACTCCCCAAATAAAACTTAAGTTGCCACCTAACCAGGTCATCCAAACCCTCCCACGTGATCCTTGGAACTCATGATCTCACATCAACAAAATCCCAATAGTCCTTGAACTCTCCTCTGAATGCTTCCTCCCACTTTTCTAGTCATAACCTGGCTATTTCCCCAGCCACCCTCTCTAATGGGGACCTGGTTTTCCAACCTTCCCATTCTTCTTGTTGTTGGAGGCAGGGAGCTTTTTGACTTACTCTTAATTGTCAGTCCCACACTCTTAAAACTCATCACTTTAAAGTATGTCTCCAGATTATACCACCTGCTGACCCTTTGGGGGGCAGCTATCCACTGTTTTCCTGATAATACCACCACCTTCACTTGACCCCACTGCTTTCTCATTGTCCATCATCCTCTCCTGCTTTTATTCCCCTCCTCACTCTTACTGCCTGTCCCTATAAGCAATCACTCTAACGCACACACCAGCAATCCTCGTGTCCATCTCCTTCTGTTATACTTACCTACTAACGCTTTGATCCTGGTTAAATCCACTCTTTTCCACCTTGCCCCTGCCCCTGAGTGACTAAATGTGGATATAGAAAGCCAACAGCCACTCTGACTACTAATAAACCATGTTGATTACTAACCAACTCCACTTAATTTTCCTGGTCAGTGCAGTCTCCCTCCCTCTAGGTTAACTATTCCACACCTTCTCTCAAACAAATGCCTTTCTCCAAAACCTCCCTCCTCCCTTGAAGGGGATAGGCTATCTTCTTAGTTCAATTACAATAGAAGCAATTAGAGGATGAAAATCTTTATCTTGCTACTACCAAATCTATTCATTTATTACTATATCCTTTCTCCTGTTATTGTTTCTGCTCCACTCTAAGGCCTATTCTTCATTCCCTCTTGCTTGTTTAAGCACCTTTCAATACTCCCAAACTTAAGAGAACAAACAAACCAATAAAAGCTTCTCTGGATGCGGCATCCTCCATCTATAATCTTACTTTTATGGCAGAAGTTCTAAAATGTATTCTCCACCCTCTTTTCTCTGCTTTCTCCCATTTCCGTCACCCTGGAGCAGTCCCCACTCAGGCCTTCCTCCCCACCCTCCCATTGGCACGACATTGGTGCAGCCACCACCAGCCTCCATGCCGCCAAATCTTCTGGCCAGTTCTCAGATGCTAATACCCCATTTTGAAACACTATTTGACAAGGCTTCCAAAGTACCACACTTTCCCTTCTATCTCTGCCAATTTCTTTTCTTTGCTACTTTTCCTTCTGTCCCAGGGCTAATTCCCAGGATTTACATTACCTTCCATTTGCATACCCTCTCCCTAAAGGGATTTCATTCTATTCTATGACTTTAAATAATATTTCTGGAATAATAGCCTCCAAATTTGCACCTATAGCCTCATTTAGCCAGTGTCCTTCCAAATACTTCCACTTTGAGATCCCATAGGCTTTGCAAGGTTAAGTCCAAAACAGAACTCACGACTTATCTCCCCAACCTGCAAACTAATCCTGCCTGGTCTTCCCCACCTCTAAAATCCAGGTTTTGAGTTACTCAGGCTAAAAACCTGGCAAACTTCCTTATTTAAATCCCTTTTACTTCATACCAATAATCAATTAGAAAATAATTTTTACTGGTTCCATTCGATAGATCTCAAATCTGACCACTGCCTGCACCTTTATTCAGCTGCCCCCACTTCGAGAGTGGCCCCTCTGTAATCTCCTCTTCACACAGCAGCCAAGGTAATCTTTGTAAAAGATAAATGAGACCATGTTTCTTGACTGCTCAAAACCCTCCAGAGCCTCCCAATTCTTATAACAAGAGGCATAATCCTACACTAGTCCATGAGGCACACTGTTCTGGACCTTACACCTCCCTGACTTCTGTCCAAGTCACTCTAGGATTCTAGCTGGTTTTGAATTCAGGAGCAGCCCAGGGACTTTATACTCACCTGCCACACTGCCTGAGAGGCTCATTCCACAGATATTCCCATGGCTTGCAAAAGGCATCTATGACCATTCTACTTAAACTGGCCTCCCCTCTGTATAGCCTTCCTCTACTTGATAATGTTATATATTTGTTTATTCACTTACCAAAACAGGAATTTAGCCCTTCTTTATAGATAGAAGGTAGAACAATAAGACACATAGTAAATACTAAATATCTAATTGTGCAATTAATAGTTGTGTTTTGTATACATGCCTACGTGAAAATGCGCACACACACATGCACACATTCACTCCTGTTTATTCCCGTGGTCAAATTCAGTACCTATATTTCAATGGGTAGTTACACATATATGGATAAAAGGCAGACTTTTAGAGTTAAGACTTCAGGTGCTTTAGATGATTGTCATCAGGTGCTACACAGGAAATGAGATGCACTCTTTGGCTTCCATTTCTTGGTGGCAACCTGTATGCAAAATGAATACTTTTCAAGCCTCAGAGGCATTACTGTACTTATTAGGTTCAACGGAGGAGATAAGCTGGTTAACCAGCTCTAGGGACTCATGATTCCCATTCAGTGCTTATACCTGCGATAGGTCACAGCAACTGAACTTCCCTCAAATGCACACACAGAACTTACATAGCACAGATTAAAATAAAACTGATTTTCTTAAAACTCCTATTGTAGTGATAGCTGTTATTTCCCTGGAGAGAGGGTGAACTCTACCACTGCTAGAACACTTGGTTCATTAAAAAAAATCAAACAAAAACAACCCTCTAATCAGACATATCATGCAGGGAATTCTCTGGAACTGATTATTTATAGGCAATAACTTCATATGTTTAAAGCATAAAACCCCCCAAACCCAGAAAGTTTTACCCTAACTTTGGGATAAAAGTAGTTTGATAAACATACTAGCTTTTATTATTATGGTTGATTTATTTTTATTCTAACTCATTTTTTCTTAAAAAAGGACAAAGGAGAGGTAAGAAAAAAAGGAAATGCATTGGAGGTAGCTTATTCATCCTTCTATTGACTTTATCAGTTCTCAGACCGTGGTAGATGCTCCCTCTGCTTAATTCATCTATTTGTTAAATCTGTGAACAGAGGCATCTTATAAAATACTATTAAGTGTGGAGAGCAACAAAGAAATCTAAGTTTTAAGTGTCTCAAATATATTTTTACAGGAAAACACAGTACCAATTTTGTCAGCCGATATGATCCCCGATTTAATAGCTGGATACAACTCCCACCCATGCAAGAAAGGTAAGTGTTTATTTCTTGTGTCTGAAACATTTGTGGCTGCTTTACAGGAAGCACAGCTGCTGAATGGTTCCATAATAAGGTATGCTAAATGGAACCCATGAGAGACAGATGAGGCAAAATACAAAACTTGGGCCGGCCAATGTAGAATAACTGCCTTATTAACTCAATGGAGAAAAATAATTTAAAAAAGAAGTCAATTATTTATCCTAACATAGGAAGAAAAAAATTCTATGACTTTCTTTAGTACAATTGCATCGAATTTTTTGGCAAGCATAGCTACAATCTCACTGGCTATCCCACTCTCCTTGGTTATGTATGATATATTTAAATCCTATAATTGAAATATAAAACACCATTCTCACAGTGATATGCATTTTGATGCAGAAATTTTAATATTAAAGTTTTCAAGTCTCACTGATTTAAATCCTTTACATCTGCCTCTTCAAATATCTTTCCATCATACATTCAGGAATAGGTCATTTGTTTGCTTTAAAAAAGAAACAGTTTTGCAAGGTGTCCTCTCATTTTTTATGTACAGTGTTTGTCTTACCCAATTCTCCTAGCACCAAAGGACAAGATGACAACTACATTTGTACCTATTTGGCTTTCCTTACTGTTACTTAGGCATGAGGCCGTGTCTTGATATGCCTATGTTAATTCGCATGCTTAGTTTGAACACTTGGTTCTTTTCAAATAATACCTTGACATCCTCGTGAACAAATTATTCTTCAGTATAACAGCAACAATAATCTACAACCTATTTTCTCAATTGAACTATTTAAGAAATAAATATTCTTATTTCTTTGAAGACCCTTCACCTTAAGGTTTCCTTTTATAAGTATTCAATCCAATCAAGTTAGATCCTTAATCATAAATTTCAAGTTAAAAAGAAATTTTCTGATCATACCATTCATTCAAAAATGGACATTACTGCAGGAAGACCATGTATCTCTGCTATTATGAAGAAACTCACTTTCTATTCCAGATAAATAATTAATATGTTCTTTCAGGAAACTAAAAGCTGTGCACTGAAAATAATGAGGCACAATATATTAAAAGGACCCAGACACCTTTAGGAATGTCTAATTCTAAGGTACCCCAAGAAATTATCCTAAGTTAATGTCTTGCCAGACTTCTCAACCTTCCTGTTTGTGTACAGGGATACTTAAAAGCTTCCTGATGTCTCTCCCCTTGTTCTCCTCTTCTGGGAGTTATGTCCTGGTTGCTGTTATTGTAACTGCCATAACTTTACCCTTTAATCAAAACCATTGAAAAAAGTTTTACTTAAACAATCTTTAAAAAATAAACATCAATAATATATTTGAAATGTCAGCATCTCATCACCACAGTCCCCTTTGCTGGGGGCTGTACACCACGATAATTAACCTTCACGCCTTGGGTTTGGGAGGCATAACTCACGTCGCGGTCAATTATTTCACTCTAGAGCCCCTAAGGATGAGAAGTATTGCTGCAAAACCTAATTAGTAATTTTTTTCAAATGTGTATTGTTTACTTGATATTCTGTAATGACATCCTCTGAGGCACTATGGCCTATCATGGCAGGGTCTTACTTAGACAGTTTTTAGCAGCTCATTGACCTGATAAAAAGACCCGCCACGGTCTGACGGCGCCCGGCAGCCACCGTTGACAGGATGGACTGTTTAACGTTTCTTTCTAAGTCATTATGGTATATCATGTCAGGTCCCTAGTAAGAGAAGTTTTTTTTTTTAGATTTAGAACAATCAACTCGATAGACCAAATAAAGAGCTCCTAACAGAGCAGAATGGGAAAAGGCAGATCTCATAGCTGCCCGGTCAATCTTCCAGCTTCGTGTGTCCTGTGGGGTGGTTGACCCAGGCAGCAAGTCATAACTTAAAATGAAATTTTTCTGTCATTGCTGAGCTTCCACTCAAGATCACAAGTATAATCAGTTACCAGCATAGTCTAATTAGTGATTAAACAAAGAAAAACTAAAATATATGAGACAGGCTTCAGATCGGAAAATAATTTTTGTAAACAGTTCATCAAGTTGATTCGGCATTGTATAGGTTCCAAATCAAACTCACCGGAAGTTCTCCACCCCACCCCACATCTGTTAGCTGATTCCAAACTTCCAATCAGTTACCGAACTGATTGAGAATAATAGAAAGAAGTTGTAAAAGACTCTTTTTACAGAGTTTTTTTACAGAGCTGGCTTGACAGATTCCTAAGATAGCTTGCCTAATTAGAACATCCAAACGAGTATAATAAAGTGCAGAATACCATCCAGTTCAGCTGGGAAATGGGCACACGGCCTCTGAACTTCCTCCACCATGGACTCACTCATGAATTGCATTCCTGCTACCTATGAATTTACTGACAGAAATGGTTACACAAAAATATAAATTTAAATGTCATGCAGATGAGTTGTTTGGATTTGATTCTTCACATAGAAGGAGAGGGCAAGAAGAAAAAACTGAATCAATAGAAATGCTTCATTGACTTCAATTTTTTAAATAAAAATAGACATTTTAGTTATTATTCTTATAGAGATCTTACTCCCTAGCTATACTAGGGAAAAAAGGAAACAGAAAAAGCAGTTTAGAGAACAACAACAAAGCATGTGTTTCACAGAGTATGTGAAATCTAGAAGCAAATACATCAGAAATTTTCCCAACTTAACTATTTTGTTTCTAGAAACCTACAGGAAACAATGTGAGAAAATATTCTGTTTGAAAAATCTATTGTTGTTTTTAAGCGGATCATGAAAATAAAAAATTTAAACTGAGATAAGGTTTAATAATTCAATCTCATGCTGTAGGATATAAACCAGCCGCCCTAAGGATAAGAAAGGACTTGTGAAGACATGGGCAATACCCAGGATTCAATGCATGTTTGTAGAAGTTGTATGAGTCCTTTTTAACTTATCTCAATACATTGAATACTGCCTGTGGTGGGGTAGGGGGGCTGTTGTAGGGGGAAGAGATGAAAGATGTAAAATACAAACAGTGTAATCCCTGTTAGTAATCTTAACTTGCTTTTCCAAAAACAGCCTAAATAGCCTAAACCAGGTGTGATCTTCTCATGGAGAGACAGGGCAAGGAACATTCCCAAGGGACCTGGTACAGTAAAATCTGAGCCTCCAGCTAATGTTCACAGTTGCTGACAGACCATTAACCAGTGTTCCTATAATGCATTTCATGAATTCTCACTTTGGGCATGCAAGGGATAAAGGCAGGGGCTCAGACTCTTCACTAGTGGAATTTCTACATAAAAATGCACTTTTTGTCAGGAAGTAAAACCTGCCATGTTGTGTTTTGTCCCCCTCCCATTTGCCCTTAGTTCTTAACAGTGACACTGTGTGGATAGAGCTAGGAGTACACACGGAGCATCCGATTAAGAATGCTTCCACAAAAAAGAGAGAGCTCTGGCAGTCTGACTCAGCGTCACAATGAGGGAGGGAGGAAAAGTAAGAAAATGGCAGCTTGGACTAGATAAAAGGAGTCCACACTTCCAAAGAGAGCTCTTTCTCTTATTCTTCACTATCAAAACTTAAATACAGGGTTTTCATATTTGTCACAACTGATAGACATTTCCTCTTAGAATTATATATAATGCATAGGAGAACTCACCACCATACAACCCACATAGTGCAAATTATGTTAAAATGGCACTTTAGTGAAATTAGTAAAGTATTTCAGAGGCTCCAAGGCCTGTCATAGAGCCATAGAGCAGAGGGACTGATCTACCTTGGGTCAATGGTGAAAAAAAAACACCTATGTACAGATTTTTGTAAACAGGTATCAGTCTTTTCAATGAAGCAGTTTAACTGAGAAGGTAAAATCACCAGTAAAATAATCTTGACTTACCATATTTCATGAGAGAGCCATTGAAATCTGGCTAGAGAAATGAAAGAAACCAGTGGCTCATCTGTATGCACTTAATTTTGCAATCGTTTTTAACCCTAATTTTGTATTTCAGTGAGATTTTACTCCTTGAATAAAGGAAATCCCAAATTGTTTGGGTTTGCATTCCTTTGAAAATCTGATTAAATCGTCCTCAAAAATCTTTCTCCATGCTCTTCCCCAAAATGCACATAGGCAAAACACATGTATACAACTGTTTATTAGAGCTTCAAAAGGGCCTCATGGACTCCTCAGGAGACATGGGCCCAGGTTAACCTCCCTTACTTTATGAAATCTGCCTCTCCTGCTCTTTGTTCTCCTTCCTACTTTTCCCTTCCTCCTTTTTCCATCGTAGTTGTTCATCGCTCCTCTGAACTTTCCACAGCACGTGCAGTTTTCAAAAGCATCAAGAAAATAAAGAAAAAATAGCCAGATATTACTCTAAAATTACTAATAATAGTAACAATTTCAGGACTCTAAAAAATAACTGAACCATATGATCCCACAATCCCACTCTGCACATATGTGCAAAGGAATGGAAATCAGTGTCTGGAAGAGATATCTGCACTCCCATTTCATTGCAGCATTGCTTGCTATAGCCAAGATGTGAAAACAACTTTTTTAACAGATAAACAGATAAAGAAAACATGATGTATGCATATAACAGAACATTATTCAGCCATAGAATTGAAGGAAATGCTACCATTTGAAACCAAAAGTCATTATGCTCAATGAAATAACCCCAATGGGGAAAGACAAACAGTATGTGTTATCACTTATAAGTGGAATTGAAAAAGTGGACATGAAGGAAATAGAGAATAGACCTTCCAGGAGCTAGGAGTGCGGGGAAGGGGAAGTGGTTGATCAGATACAAAATTTCATTTGTAAGAAGAATAAGTTCTGAGGATCTAATTCATGTATAGTGACTGTAGTTCATCCTGTATTGTACGCCTGAAATTTGCTGAGAGTAGATCTTAAGTGTTCTCGTCAAACAAAAAAAAAGGTGGGGGTAACTATGTCAGGTGATGAATGTGTTAATTAACTTCACAGTGGGTATCCTTTTACAATATATGCATATATTAAATCATCACCTTTTACACTTCATAATTGACAAAGGTATTTGTCAATTATACCTCAAAAAAGCTGGAAATACAATAAAATTGAATACATCACCATATATTACATATACTATACATGATAATAAATGATCTACACAAATATTAAAGAACTCAGTGGTCACTTAAAATACAGGGGAGCAAAAGTAGGTTTACAGTTGTAAGAACATGGAATGCAGAGTTTAGTCTTGCACTATTACTTATTTATTAATTATTATATTAGTTTTTTATATTAATGATCTGGTCATTATTTTGTATCCTTACTGATGATTTCTGTTTTAAGTAATGATGACTGGTAATTCAACCAGTGACCAACGAAAGTAGGTACTTACGATACTGTATACCTACTTTTGCCCCACCCCTAAATTACTAAGAAAAATTGATATGCAAATAGTTTTTAAATTTTATTTTCAATTGCATTCAACATTATTTTGTATTAGTTTTAGGTGTGCAGCATAATGGTTGGACAATCATATACTTTATGAAGTATTCCCCCCAGTATTTCAAGTAACCAGCTGGCACCATAGTTATTAAAATATTGTTGACTAAATTCTCTGTGCTTTACTTAACATTCCATAACTATTCTGTAACTATCATTAGTACTTCTAAATCCTTGATCTTTTTCACCCAGCCCCTGAACCCCACCCCACCCACTTTGGCATCCATCAGTCTGTTCTCTGTATCTATATTTTTCTGTTTTGTTTGATTTGTTCTTTAGAGTCCATATATAGGTGAATTCGTATGATATTTGTCTTTCTCTGCCTGGCTTATTTCACTTAGCATAATACCTTCTAGGTCCACCCGTGCTGTTGTAAATGATAAGATTTCATTATTTTTATGGCTGAATAATATTCCATTGCTTCTACCACAGCTTTTTTATCCACTCTTCTACTGATGAGCACTTAAGCTGTTTCCAAATCTTGGCTTTTGTAAAAAACAAAATGCTGCAATGACCATAGAGGTGCATATATTCTTTTGGATTAGTGCTTCAGGTTTCTTAGATATAAACCCAGAAGTGGAATCACTGGGTTAGAAGGCATTTTCATTTTTAATTTTCTGAGGAACCTCTACACTGTTTTCCACTATGGCTTATACACAAATATCTTGATGGCTGGTTTTTAAAAAGTTATTCAGATAATATTAACTGATGGGTCATGAGCATGAACAAAACGGCCGACACCATAACAAACACTTTATATGGGCATTTGCAAATAACCCCGTGTTGTGGAGGAGCAACCTGAGGCTAAGAGGGGTTAAGTAATATGTCAAAGGCCACACACCCAATAAATCTTAGAGCCAAGCAATCTTACTCCTGAGACCAAGCTATTAATTAATCAAGATGCTATATGCTGCTTCCCAGAGGTTTGGGCACTTTGTAAACACAGCCTGGAAAATCTCCAAACCATGTAGGTTTACCTGATTAAAACTTCTGGGACTTCTCACATTACTATTGACATTGCCCAAGAGTCTTAGCATCAATTTTTATGAAGACCATAATTCATCGAACATAAATTATATTCACTAAGAGACTCAGTGCTTAACAATTGCACTTCATCAGTATTGAACCACATGTTATCCTTAAGAACATATAATTATAGTAGTATCAATGAGAAAAAAGAAGCAAAGGGTCAAGGATTTGCTTAAGACTTCAACTTAGTCTAACTCCAAATTTTTGAGTCCTCTTTGAACCTTTATTCTCCCTCAGCTCTCATATCGTATTAGCAACCCAGTCTTATGTCTTCCTTTAAAATATCTTTCTTTCTCTCCTCTTTCCATGTTTTCTACTAAAACTCTAATTTAGGTCCTCAGTACCTCACTCCCACATTACGCTCTACCTCAGAATTGGTCTTCGTGTCTCCAGTCCTTTCAACTCAGCTTGCATCTTTTTCTTTTGGTGGCGTAGTGAGATAATTTGTCAAACAGCTACTAAAAATGTTTGTAAAATGTCTGTAAGAATCAACACGAAACACTACATAGATGAAATCCCTATAATGGATTACATAACAGCAAAATTTCAACAATATACTCAGTTCACAAAAGTGTCTCCATTTGCCATAGTAGTGGGGGGGGGGAGAAAAAAAGATAATTGAAGAAAAATTTTGATGATGTAGTTCTCTTATAAATTGGGAACAATGACCCTTGAAGGACCATAAAGAAAGTGAATGTCAAGATAATTTATTATTGTTACATTATCTACCTCATTTTTTACTTTGTCTTACTGAGCTGTGATATCCTTACAGGGTACCAAATATCCCAAACATTAATGAACACTTTACCAGTGTATCAAAAGCAAGATAAAGAGAGCTAAAACAAAGAGTTGGTGAATTGCTTGCTCCTCTACTGTTACTTTAATATCAGAATGTTACCCAGGCGGGGCAATGATTATGATTACTGTATAAGGTTTCAGCTGGTGAAGGTAGCTATATGAGTGATTTCCAAAGGTTTGCAACCCTTTCTGAGGCTGCTAGGCTTCCTTTCCCTGACCGACCGGGCTCCTTTTGTGATTTACAGTGGGGTTTTTGTTTTCACTGCAGAAGAGCCAGTTTCTATGCATGTCGGTTGGACAAACATTTATACGTTATTGGTGGAAGGAATGAAACCGGCTATTTGTCCAGCGTGGAGTGCTATAACCTGGAAACAAACGAATGGCGTTACGTGTCCTCTTTGCCACAGCCTCTCGCAGCTCACGCAGGAGCAGTGCACAATGGGAAAATATACATTTCAGGCAAGTCTTTCCTCCACATTCTGCTACAAAGTTCAGTTCCAAGGCACGTTCTTGACTTGTATGTATGTTTAATTCCCAGGGGGTGTGCACAACGGAGAATATGTCCCATGGCTATATTGCTATGACCCGGTGATGGATGTCTGGGCACGAAAACAGGATATGAACACAAAACGCGCCATCCACACTTTGGCTGTAATGAATGATCGCTTGTATGCAATTGGAGGAAATCATTTGAAAGGTCTTTTTTTATCACAATAACATTTGCATATCATGTTTCTTGCTAAAGGGGTTTCTCGTTAGATAATCATAGTTAATTTAACCAAGTAAAAACTACGTTGACTGAATAAAATTTACTCTGTGAATTACCAGTACCCTTGGGTGAGCATTTATTTTGGTTCCTCTGCAGATAGGATTATTTTTAAGTTACCACACATGTTAAGGAAATGAATAACGATGTCTACAGAAAATTCAAAGCAGAAAGCATTAACAAATGCAAAAGCACAGACAATTTGTTGTAATGGTGAATTCAGTAAAATAATTTATCCCTTTCATCAAAGTTATAGTAATGAATTTTGTCTAGAAAATTGTTTTCTGTAGAAATCATAAAAACTTTAATCATAGCTGTGCAAAGAAGCTAATATGTGATTTTCCTTAAAGAAAACACTTGGGATTTCTTTTTTTTAAGATTTTATTTATTCACTCTTAGAGAGAGGTAAAGGGAAAGAGAGAGAGAGAAACATCAATGTGTGGTTGCCTCTCATGAGCCCCCTACTGGGGACCTGGCCTGCAACCCAGGAATGTGCCCTGACTGGGAATTGAACCAGCAACCCTTTGATTTGCAGGCCTATGCTCAATCCACTGAGCTACACCAACCAGGGCAACACTTGGAATTTCATGTCTAAATTTTGAATTATCTCTTTAAAGAACTATCTATAATTTTCAAATTTTTCTATTTGCTTTTTTAAATTAAAAAAATTAAATCATAATATTTTAGAACTGTGTCTTGGTTCCTTTTCTTCTCCATATTTGTATATGCCTATAACCTTTTGTAGTCTATGTGCATGTATGTAACTTTAAGTGCATTCACATAACCCTGAATTTGATAGAAAAGCAGAGAGATGTATAATATTGAGAATGTTAACTGCTCTGGGCCTCAGTCTCCTCATCTGAAAATGGAGAAACTGGTCTGGCTGGCCTCTCAACTCTCCTGCAGCTCTGACCTTCCATAACCCTTGAAATTGAAATAAAGGAAAACTAGGCCATCTGGGTATGGTAGATAAGGCCCATCTGTGCATCATTTTTCAATTAGATACCATCTTTAAAAATGGGTTAGACAGTGACATTTTTCTTTTTCTTAAATACATAATCACCCCTGAATATAATAAAGGCCAGACAAGTATTCTTTTAATGTAAATTCATCCACGTCCATATTGAGTCAGAAAGGTCATTTTCCTGGTCTATGCCTGCTGCTCACCTTAGAGCTCTCCCTGCAGAACAGGATCGCCTTTACTGCTGCGACTGTTGCCTTTGATGCTTTTTCTCTTCCACTGGTGCTTCTTCCTGTCAACCCATAAAGGCAACCCATGCCTTTACATCAACATGTTTTGTATTAACTTTGCAGTTTTTGCATTGAAATATGATTTCTGCTAGTTTCTTTGTACAAGAATGCCTTACTATTTATGGTTATACTTGGACAGAAAAGGTTTGGGTAATGCCCTAAATGAAAACTAGCATGCACACATCAAATTAGGCTGGCTCAGGGAGGCAATGTGGCATAGAGGACAGAGTGTGGGTATTGCCTCTAAGCTTGGGCCTGAATCCCAGCTCTGCACTTGCAGCTGAGTGGGCTGACTCACGGCACTTAATCTCATGTCTGTAAACAAGGGGTAGTGATCCTTTCTTTGGCAGTTGTGAGGATTACAGTCAACAAATGTAAAATGTTTACTTGGTCCAGAGAAAGCACACATATTCTCATATGGTACCACTAGAACCTTAGAACCAGGAATTTGCCCAAATCCTCATTGGAAGTATATATGCTTCAAAAAATGTTTTATCAACTATCTTAATGGTAAAGGGAAGGGATATACCACATAACTGCAGTAAACACATTAATCTGTTGTTCCAAAATCTACATGACTTACTTTATGTAAAAAGTATGTGGCCCAAAATATTCTGTCTGCCTCTTCAAAAATGAAAATCTTTTTACTTTTTGGTCTACCTTTTCAATTAATGTGAACAGTTCAGTGTGTTGTTTTAATTATATTATATGCCTTGTAATTGTCAGCTAGCAAACATCTATACCGTGCATTTAACTAGGGAAAAAATCATGAAAGATTTCGTTTGCTCAGTGACCATGAAGCCCCAACCTCAGATTTTTGACTCCTTAAATTAAAGGCAAGGACCCAATAGAGTCCAGTAACCTCAATTGTTCACTGTGACCTAGCGACTGCCCCAGCCACAAAGAAACTTGATCAGAAGTGAAAAGGGAAGCCCTTCGGTGAGAGTTAGCCCCCTACTCAAAACCTTGATCCTTGGTGGATACTGGAGACAGTTCACATCATCATAGTTATTTATAAATAGTCAGGCTGTGAAAAAGATAAAATATGCTGAACAAAAAGTTTTAATTAACTAAAACATTTTAAGAGAATTAACTACTCATTTAAGAAAAGCAATATAGTTTCATCTGCAAAAGTGTGAACTTCACAGCCTGTTCACTTGGATTCAGATCTCGGCCCTATTGCCCTGGCTGGCATAGCTCAGTGAATTGAGCTTGGGATGCGAAGCAGGCATTGCAGGTTCAATTCCCAGTCAGGGCACATGCCTAGGTTGCAGGCCATGGCCCCCTGCAACTGCACATTGATGTTTCTCTCTCTCTTTTTCTCTCTCCCTTCCCTCTCTAAAAATAAATAGGTAAAATCTTTAAAAAAAAATCTCAGCCCTATCGATATATTTACTGGCCATGTGACTGACTCAAGTTATTAACCCTCTCTGTCCCTCAGTTTCCTCATCTATAAAGTGAATATAATTGTGTAACTATCTAATAGGATGACTGACAGGATTAAATGAGTTCATTTATGTAAAGCACTTTATAAGCTACAAAATGCTTGCTTTAACTATAATTATTTTAAACCCTTTAAAAAGGTTTTAAAAAAACCAGTTTTTAATAAGATCTACCCCCATATAATCAACCAATGACATCTAGTCAGGTATTGTTGCTTTGAATTAATCTAAAACATCCAGAATTGGGTTGTTTGTTTGTTTTATATCTTTCTGACATATGTCCTCATTTCATCAGTAGATTTATATATTTTTGCCTTAAAGACACAATTATCTGCTTTTTGGCTCTAGACCTTTTTTTAAAAAGAAGCCCTAGCCTTAATTTGGGACCATGAGAGTTTATTCTTCTGTAATTTCATTTTTCTATGTCACTTAGGTTTCTCTCACCTTGATGTAATGCTTGTGGAATGCTATGACCCAAAAGGGGACCAGTGGAACATTCTCCAGACTCCCATTTTGGAGGGACGAAGTGGTCCTGGCTGTGCGGTGCTTGATGACAGCATTTACCTTGTGGGAGGCTACAGCTGGAGCATGGTATGTACCCACAGTGAACTGCTCCTCCTTCTTTTTCTTTGTGCTTCCTCTTTGTTTCCCTCAAAATGTGTTATCACCCATGCACATACCTTTTAAGAGTATCATGCTTATATGCAAAGAGCAAATTACTTTAAGTAATAGAATCAGTGTGGTTGCTGTGGACCTGGTTTGCTCCTGGATCAACTGTATCATGAAATGGGTGAGGTCTCTGGTTCTCTCCCTTCTCCATGCTTTTGCAATTACGGCTTTCCAACTGACAGTCAAACTAATCTGGTTTTACTGATGTTGTTTTGAAATTGTTTGAACTGTAGAGTCTTAAAAGTTTTTGGCCAGTAAGGTATGAAAACAGAAATCAGTTGTTCAATATCTGCAAATTCCATTTAGGATATGTAATTTGCCATTGCGTTGCACTTTTCTCCCCTCTTAGCATTAAAATTTCCAAACATACACCAAAATTGAGAGTACTGTAGGCCTTGTTAACGTGCCATCCAACTTCAATATCCATCAACATTTTGTCATCCTTAATTTCATTTATTCTTTCTTTTTTTACTTTTATAAATAACTGTTTATGTTTTTATTGTTGTTCAATTACAGTTGTCCCATTATCCTCCCACAAATCTCCCCCACCCTACCCATGTATCCTTTCTTCAAAAAAATTTTACTGAAGTAATTTCTAGACATCATATTATTTTTTGTAAATGTGTCAGTAGTTATCTTTTTAAAAATCATTCATTTATGTAAACACATGGTCATTATCATATCCAATAAAATTAACAACAATTTCTTTATATCTAATCTATATTTAAACTTCTGTTCATTGAAAAAATGTATTTTTCAAATCAATATGTTAAAACAGGTCTCACTTGTATCAGTTATCACCTCTTACAGATTTCCTGCAGACTGGAACATTATCCCTGTCCCACCTCATGTTCCACACCATTGACTTGTTGAAAAGCAGGGTCAGTTATCACAGGATATCCAGCACTCGGTTATTAGCTAATGACTTCCTGTGGTGTCATTTAAAATCATCTTGCCCCATAGTCCCCATAGACAGGAAGTAAGAGATAAGAGCTTAAGGTCAGCTTTTTCTTAAAAAGAAAATGTTATTTATTTTTGGCAAAAACACTTGAGGAGATGACTCTGTCGTTCAAATTACATCTTATCAGGAGACACATAGGGTCTAGTGGTCTACATAATCACGTTTTAAATAATGACATCGTATCTTTCCTTATTTATATGTGTTGGTTTTATAAGATTAATTTGTGGTTTCAATAACATGAGTTTTATTTCTTTGGCATCAAATAAGGTTGTTATATAGAGTTTGGGGGGAAGCTTTAAAAAGTTACTAGCTATATGGAGGCAAATATGTATTGACATATATAGCCAGCTATCTGCACACGTGCCTGGTTGCTGGTACGAGTCACTAGCCTCGAGAGCATACACGTTTGGAACTAGACACCAGGGATACACTTTCAGAAAATGATTGTTAGGTTGGTAGGGAATTTTGTTTGTCGCCTATGACAAAAAGAAAGCTGCTTTGGTCTGGGAAGGGAAATGTCATACAAGCACTAGCCCCAGAGGTTGACAAAGAAAACAAGATTTTGTTTGTTTGTTTCTCATGTGGCTGGCCTCTTGAAAATAAATAAATCATGTGGCCTCTTGAACATAAATAAATCAGTGTGGGAAGAAGTCAGCAAGCTTTTATCTCCAGTTTATTTTTAAATGGCTTTGAATCCCAGCTCTAATTCTCTCTACAGCAAAATAAAAATGAAAACATGAGGCAACAATCTAAAATCCAATTTATTTCCATTATTTGACTATTTCAGGTGATTTTTTTAAGTTAAACCAGCAGGGTAATTTCTATTTTTTGGTCAATTATTTTAAGGGATTTATTGATCATCTAGGATGTTCTAGGTACTTGACTTTTATTATTTGTCACACACACACATAAGAGCAGATTTTAAAATCTTGTCAATCTCAAATTTTGCCTTGGATTAAAACAGTTTAAAATCCATTGTTTTCATTTTGAAGTTTTTAAACAAGAGCAGAAAGTTGATACTGTCTTTGCAAGGTGAATGTGATAAATAAGGCTGCCATTGCACTTCTCTGAATATTCATCCCTAAACACTCCCTGTTCTACCATTACAGGGGGCCTACAAGTCATCTACAATATGCTATTGTCCAGAAAAAGGCACCTGGACAGAACTGGAAGGAGATGTAGCAGAACCACTGGCAGGCCCAGCCTGTGCAACAGTTATCCTGCCTGCCTGTGTACCTTACAATAAATAACACCAGGAAACCCTGGGATGAACAGTATTCCTTTCTAGGAAATAATAGCAGGTGACATCACGCTTACAACTAGGAACAGCGCATTTGAATGGTACAGCTGCCGCAACCCACCTTTGGTTGCTGATGATTTACAAATCTCTGCGAAAGCAAAAGACCTGTTCTTGAGCAGATGCGGTCCGTAACTTGGGTCACGGCAAACTTCCTGTGGTGACAAACTCTTCCATTTCAGACTGGTTTTAACTCGTCCCAGCTTTATAAACACTCCTCCCGTGGATCTTAACTTGCAAAAGGAGAAAGATAAAATACAGAAGAGTGCCCTCAGAAGGACCTAAGATCAGTATTGTGCATTGTAGTCTACCCGCATGTGATCTATGTTGAAGTTTTGGGGATATTGTGTTCATGAATGATTCAAAACTGGACCCACTAAAATACTTGCCCTGCATTACGGAAATTGCCACTTGATTTTATATTCCTAACCTGTGGCTACTTCACAGACTCCATAGGCAACACACTCATGGGAATCATATAATATCAAAGAGAAACACTTTCGTACCCGTATGACTTTATTTCACATACCTTCTGCCCTTGCAGCCTCATGGGATCAGAGAAGAGAAGATGCTGGTTCTTATAGCAATTGCTTTCTGCCCTGTCGGCTCCATGCTAACCAAAGTCATCATTTCTGTGTCCTCAGTTTTATCTGAAAGATTAAAACAAAGTACCTGGTGTCACTATTCAGTTCATGGAGGTTTTTTCTTTTTTGCAGTATATAGATAAGTGGTGAACACATCTGTTCTTTGCTTCAAACGGTAGGATTATCAGGCAGTCATACAATATTGTGTTTTCTGTTAGATGACGTATCCGACCCAAACAACCCACAGTGAAAACTGGGAGATTGCTTTCAGTAAATCAGGAACAAAAAGATAAAACAATTTCTTTTAAGTACAGTCCAAGTTGTCCCTCTGTCCTTAAACACACAACTTAAAAGAGACACAGGAGCAAATTATAGCTCCTAACAAATACTTCCCCCTCTTCCTTACCTTGGCTCTAGAAATGGCTTTAGATTTGGCTCTAGAAAAAGCACATGACTTATCCTAATTATTCCCCCAACTCATCATACGTGTTTGTCATCACCAGAGACGCCTGAGCTCAGTTGAGCGAGCCATCGCTAGTTGCCCTTAGGAGCCTGAGGAATTCAGGAACCAAAGATCAGGAGGGCGTGAGAACGTTTCAGTCTGGCCATTTGGAAGAACCAAACTGGCAAGAACATGAATTTGATTTTCAAGCTCTTTGGATCTGGAACAACATCTGTTAGGAGTAAATTAAAAAGCTTAAAATATTTTTAATCACCCGGAGATGTTGTTGAATCCCTCAACAAATGTGTCATTCAAAAGAACACCATGGGGGAAGCCACGGGTTAAACAAGCCTGGTGATAAGCTTCACTGCGGAACATGTCAAGACGGACAGGTGTCCTGGAACCCAGTGCCGTTTCCACAGTCGAGTGCAATCTTCCTTGTTTTTGTATTTATTTGTATGTTCAGATCCAAAGGATCCGCTGTAAAATATATATATAAATATATATCCAGTGCAATTAACTTTCATTTCTTTTTCCTTGAAAGCATATGAATAGAGAGAGAGAGAAAAGTTACGGTACTTTGCGGGAACATCCCAGCTGACATCGCAAAGAGAATGCGGTCTGCTCCAGAACGTTCACCGTCAGCGGTCACCATCCCATCTGGATGTCTCAGTTTATGCAAGGGTATTTGCTTTCCTTAGACTGGTTCTTCATTTATTTTTATTTCTAGCCAACATAAATAAAAGCATTTATGAGAACTATAAGTAAAGCTTTCTGTATTTCAGAGAGACACAACTATTAGAAAGTGAAAAGTGAATAAATAAGTCACAGAGGATGTAAATTTTGTACAGTATTAGAATGTGTAAATGAAGCTTGCTTGGAAGGGGAAAACTTTAAATAAAAACTTTATGTACTAATTCAACTGTCTCTCATATTTCTACTTATAAAGTATATGTATAAATCTCTACATTGGATTGTTTAAATGTTTGTAATAGACAAAGGCCTAATATTTTCATTCTGCAGTATAACTTAACAAGCTTATTCGGCTTCTTGGCAATACACACACACACACACATACATATATACACACATGCACATATATATATAAAATGGACAGTACTAAAAGTTACAGAATGCTTCAGGAAAATGTTGTGAGTTGAATCTGATTTTTCCACTGTAAAACTGTTATAATAATGCATAACTTACCCAATATCTAATAGCTAAATATTTATAGAAATTATTAGAAGCACCATATGTATTAAATAATACTTGTACACTTTCTAAAGAATAAGTGAACCACACATTTATTTTTTTTAGATTTTTTAAACTTATTTTTACAGAGAGAGGAAGGGCGGGAGAAAGAAAAGGAAAAACATTGATACTCAACAGAAACAGATAGGTTGTCCTTGCACGTGCCCCACCTAGGTGCTGTCCCACAACCCAGGCATGCACCCTGACCAGGAATTGAATCAACAACCTTTTGCTTTGCAGGATGATGCTCAACCAACTGAGCCATGCTGGTCAGGGAAAGAACAAGTGAACCACACATTTAATTAGATAAACTCTCTAAATACATTAAACTTTATTTTCTTTTTTAAAAAATCTGAAAAAGAAGTTGCAGGGCAAGGAAAGAGGCTGTGGGAGACGAGAGGGAAAACTGAGGCATGTAGTTGAAGGTATAGTTGGGCAACCTTCCAGGTAAACAGTTCTGAAAGGTTGGAGACAACTTCCTGAAGCTTATAATTTAGAAAGAACTTACTTCAATGCTTCCAAGTTAAATCTACCATTATTGGGCATTAAACTCACAAAGGATTATTTGATCCTAGAAGTATTTCTTGAAAACAGGAGTAGTGAGATTTCTGTCTTCTTGCCCTGCACCTTCACCTCTCGACACTAGTGTGGCACACCGGAGAAAGGCCTCTCTCTGCGGTAGCCTCTGTCACCACCTTCTTCAGATTCAGCAGCTAGTTGTTGTTGCAAGGCTTCTTCCAAATACCCTGAATCTCCAAACTCTAGTGCTGACCAGCTAGCAAGAGCAATTAAGTGAATATAATGTTCTTTTCCTAATCCCAAGCAACCACCTTCTTGAAGTCCATAACTAGCCCAGCTAAAACTGGGAGAGTGAGCATTGAAACCAGGGCTTTTAATTAATTGATTGTGTCTATAGACTTAAAGTTATTACCTGCACTTCCCCTCTATTGAAACCAAATTTATAATTTTCCCAGCTGCTTGACACTGATAGCACTTAACAAATTATGAAATTATCAACATTGTAAGTATCAAGTATTTATTGAACATATGGGTTAGGCAACCCATAAATGACAGAGTTCTCATTAAATTGGGTTCTCTAGATCAAAATATTTTTAAGATTAATGACTAAATGGGCCAAAACAGGATTGATAAGCATACCAAAGCCAATTAATACACATTGGTGGGTATCTTAATAAAGCGAGTTCCCATACGTGGGGTAACAGGAAGATCTTGACTGATCAAGCCTGACTTCCCAGAAGCAGCTGACTAGAGGGTGTTGAATGTTGATAGAAAATAAAATGGCAATGAGAAGCAAAAAGGCCACACTAAGAAAATATCCAAATAGTAAGTTTGCCTTGCGTAGCCATAGCTGTAACTGTATAATGACGCTCTGGATAGTGTATTCGGTGTGGGCCAATTATTCCATGGGGTTTCTTAAAGGAGGTATTTAACATTTGTTGACTCGATGGACTTGATGCCATGATAAGCAGTTTGGTTCTAGAGATGCATTTGAAAAATGTGCTTCAAGAATACAGTACACAAGTTTAAGAATAAGAAAAAAATCTACAAATTATGTGGATTATTCTGTTCTATTTTATTCTATTCTAGGCTGTTGTCCACATATATTAGAACTCAGAAAATCTCAATTCTTCACATTAGCAGGATCAGTAGTACTTTAGTGTTTTTAACTCTCTAATGATGCTGAAAACAGGATGGTTTTGGAGTGAGTTGACATGTAGGACTACACACTGCTTAGGCTCTAAAGAATTCAATTACTTCCGGTAAAGTAACCCCTGGTGGTAACATCCTCTTTCATTTCTAACATTATAAGCTCACTCCTCTGTGACCTTCCAAATCTTCTAGTACAAAATAATGACATTTGGGGTTGGTGGGGGGCAGGTAAACACTTGGCTGCAGGACAAAGGTCATCCCACATTTAGGGAGATGCCAGGCTCCTGGCTTCCAATTAAGTTACTCAAATCTGGGACATTTGGGAATTGATTGAACTAAATTAAGAAAAGGGAGTAAAAAGAACAGCATTTAGCTATTAATCCAAAGTTATTATATCAAGAATATTATATAATACTTCCACTAACTGAGTGTTTACTATGAGTCAGGGACAATGCTGGACATTTTATACATATTTTCTTATTTACTCCTCTGATCAGCTCTACAAGGTAAATGTTATTCTTATATTAAAGGTAAGGGCAACTCTGCTCAGAAAAGAGAAACTATTTGATAAAGTTAAATAGCTGATAAGTAGCAGAGCTAGGATTCACACCAAGGTATTAATCTAAAGTCATTCTCAAATTACCACAGTCTCCTGCTCACAAAGAAATTTACTAAGTCAATCATTTGAAGTCCTGTGGGAATTCCTGGTGGATTGGCTGCTTTTTCCACATAGGAATAGACCATGCTGGAGGGGAAAGTGAACAATTAACGATGACATATTATGGTTAATGCTGTATTGTTTGTGAGGATGAACTACAGGGAAGCACAGGAGTGAGCACAACTAGCAGGAACTTGCTCTGTGACCTCGGGAAGCCACTTAGTTTCTCCACCTTTAGGTTTGTTATCTGTCTATGGAATGATAATTTTTTCTTCAAAAAACGATTGTGAAAATCATTTGTAAATTATGTGTAAACACTCTACCTCATAAACTCCAAAGTAAAATATAAGACATATCAGCTGTTAGGATGTGACAAATAAGTTCAAGTTTTAGCCTGGCATTCGAGATACCTTAAAATGTGGCCCCAGCCTCACTTTTAAGTCACATTATTCTTTACTGCTCTGTTCATTGAGTGACATGAATCTTTGCTTTTCCACAAACACGGCTATGCTTTTCCAACTTTGCTCTTTTGCTTGTGCATTTTCTCCACTGAGAATGCCATTTCATGCTCAACACTATCTATTAAAATCCTGTCCTTCATGGTCCCCATTCAAACTCTGCTGCCTTCATTAAGGCTTCGTGATCACGAGTCTTATGTGATGCTTTTCATCTGACTTCAATGACCAACCCTTTGGTGTCTCTGGGCCACACTGGAAGAAGAATAATTATCTCAGGCCACCTATTAAATATATAAACACTAACAAAAATAAAAATCTCATAACATTTGAAATAAATTTATGATTTTGTGTTGGGCCACATTCATAGCCATCCTGGGCCATGGGCTGGACACCCCTGCACCTATTCAATTCTGTTTGTAAGATTTTATGTCTTACCTCTTACTAGATTCCTTGTTCTTTGAGAGTAGAGACAAGTGCAGTATGTCTTAAATAAAGCCATGAAGTATTTGTTGGATAAAGTACTATATTTAATGTATAATGTGGTCAAATTATAAAAAATTTGGGACATACAAGGGAAAAAAAGAAAATTACTTTGACTCCATCATCCTACACATAACTTTTACTGTTGGGCAGTGTGAACTTTAACGGGTCTTTTCATTGCATTCTGCACAGCTGAATTTATATCTTGACATCTTAACTTTTTAGCATTTCACAGGCATGTTTCCCTGTGACTAGGTGGTCTTTATAGCAAGTTTTAGTGATTTCATAGTATGCTGAAAGAACATTCAAGCATTGGCAAATTTTGACTTGTGCCCTCAAACCACATTCTCATGTGTTCTTTCTGATTCCCTCCCACCAATTTCATGCTACAGTTCATGTTCTCCTCAACTGCCAGTATTGTTTCACCATAACAAACACTTTAAAACTTCTGGCTCTCCAGAAATATTGCTTATTTAGTTCATCTCTGGTCATTTTCCTCATTTAACATCTCTGCCGAGAAGTGCTGCAATTCCCCCAACCTCCAGGATCTTCCAGAATGCTTGTGGTAAATTGTACTTTCCTTGTGAATGGGCTTAGACCACCAAAGATTCCACTTCAGGCCACATGGCATTCATACAGTTTGGCAGGAAGTTCATTACTTGTCTTACAAGTTTGTCTTAAAAGTAATTCAGACAATTAAAACCAGCTGGGATGGAATGCCATATTAAATGTATTCATTTCTTTTCCAACACAATTGACCAATGTTAATCTGACTTGCAGGAAAGAAAGAAAAGAAGGAAAAGAAAGAACTTTAAAGTTAAACAGCCCTGGAGGCTACATGTCTGATGAGAAAATATACTCCAACTCTCTGGCTAGCCCATCCCTAAGGCGGTCATCATCTCCTCTAAATCCTTAGAATATTTATTATCTATACTGTTCATATAGCACCTACCATGTCATATTCTATTGATGGCATTTTATGGTATATTTATGCCTTGTTTTAACTAATCCTCTTCCTGTAAAATAGACAATGCCTGAAATGTGTCTCCCCACAATGCTTTGCCCCTTGTGATACTCAGTAAATGGATATTTCAGAGGTATTAGAATCCCTGGAGTAGCACAAGCACTTCTGACTCAGACGGTTCATGCTCATAATCTTTAAAATGTAAGTTATATATGGATTTTCTGAAAGGCAGTTCTGACTGCTGCCAATATGACAAACCCTGTCTGCACGTTGTGTGCAAGTTAGTTGCCTTTGTTAAGTTAACCATGTTTTTTCTATTTAATGACTGTGAAAATCAGAATTTTTAATGCAAAAACCCTTGTTCAGTTGTGTTAAAAACCCTACTATTATGAAAATCTTTGCCCCAGTACATAAATG